GCAAAAACATTGAAGAATAAGAAGGGGGGAGGAGGAGGAGGAGGAGGAGGAGGCTGGATTTGATGTCCCACTTTATCACTACCTGGAGTCTCAAAGCGGCTAACATTCTCCTTTCCCTTCATCCCCCACAACAAACACTCTGTGAGGTGAGTGGGGCTGAGAGACTTTAGAGAAATGTGACTAGCCCAAGGTCACCCAGCAGCTGCATGTGGAGGAGCGGAGATGCGAACCCGGCTCACCAGATTACAAGTCTCCCGTTCTTAACTGCTACAACCACACTGGCTACACATTGGCACCCTCTTCCCAATAAGCCAAAGTGATAGTGACAGGAGATCAGGTAAGCACCACCAACCTGCTAACCACGGCTTCATTTTGCTCTTTCCCCCATTTTGTCCTGACTGGAAGCTGATGTTGGCACTTACTTACTTACTTACTTTATATCCCATCTTTCCTTCAAGGAGCTCAAGGTCTGGTTCCTGGGAAGTTACAGTGCCTTTGTAATCATCTGTTTTCTTATCAATGTATAGACTGAGTAGGTATTGCAAGGCACAGAGCAAGTACCTAGGCAGTACTGATTCCCATGTAGCATCACACCATCAGCATCCAAATCAGCCCACAGTAAACTCCAAATTGGTTAATTTCATCAGATCTCCCAGAACAAGCTATCCACCTAATAGAACTCTCTACCTAATTAAATCAAGCTGACAACATATTTAATGGGTTTTAGGAGCCAACTTAAGACTTAGTTATTTCACCAAGCCTTTTTATGAAAATGATTTACTGTTTTTAGAACCTTATCAGATGACCTATTCTGTACTTCTGCTTCTTTAATGCATTTTGTTTTGACTTCGTTGTTATCTTGCTTTGGTTTTGGGCACTGCTTATATATATATATATATATATATATAGTATAGAAATGAATAACAGTAACACACATTCCCAAAGTGCTGTGTGCGAAAGGAGGATTCCGGTTGTCCTTAACTGCCCATTGTCCTAACTTTTGTTGTCTCCTCCCAATAGCGGTTTCCATCAATCCACCAAGTTAGGAAGAGAAGAGAACTGGCATGTCAGTGTACAACCAAAGCATTCCTCAAGCAAACATAAACTTGCGTCCTTTCTGGAAACAAGCACGCTGCAACACTTCAAAGAAAACCAAATGTTCAAGTGTAAAGGGCTGGTGCTGTAGCTTTGTCAGTCAGAGGACAAAATTACTCATTCAACTATTAAAGCATTTAACAAGGCAATTTCAGCAGGCTCTTTCTCATTCAGGAGACTAAGCCCACAAATGTCTGTTTCCCAATGTAAAAACAAAAGTTTGTATGCCCTGGGGAGCTGCCATTAAAGTTGGGTGCTTTAAGCCTGCTCTCTTGTATATTTCTCCATAAAAGTTAGGTCTTGCTTTTAACCTCTGGTAGACAAATTTGTAGCAATAGGCTGTTGCACGGCAAGAAAGGAACCTTTTTCTCCCCTGCCCCCTCCCCTTTTACCTACATCTGCTCCATATTTGCATTTCAGAAATTAGAGAATTCAGTTATGTGGAATTACATAGCAACTGGGCAGGGGCCGAGGTATGGAACTGATTCGGTCTTCAACCTAAATAAGAAGGTTTTTCAAGCTTTCTCCAGGAAATTGAGTGGAACACCCAAACTGACATTTCGTATTAAATATTATATTTGTATCGTTGCTCCTTCGAGCCCATTGGTCTCAAACATCTGGGATCCCTGTTTGTAAGTGCAGAAACTGAATACCTGCTCAGAATTAAGCTCATCAGAGCAAAGAAATTAAAATATTACTGGGTACACTCTGAGCCAGTCCAATTGTAAGGGAAGAGCTATTAGAATATGATTAGCCGAGCCATATTTGCCCTCCAATATGTCATACAGCATTAAGGCTGAGAAGACTTTGAAGCAAATCCTACTGGCAAACCCCACTGCTTCATCAGCAGCTCTGCACTGAGGAATGTGCTCTTTCGGATAGTGACCCAAGTCCTGGGGCGGAGTGGAGCATCTTTTGAATTCCTGTAGCAACTGGGAAGGGCCAATAGCTCCATAGCAGAGCATCTGCTTTGCATGCAGATGGTCCCCGTTTCAATTCCTTGCATCTCCAGGTAGGAAAGGGAATGTTCCTCTCTAAAAATGTGGAGAGGTGCTGCCAAACAGAGTTGACAGTACTGAGCCAGATGGGCCAATGATCTGACTCCATAACTGAACCTGTTCTTGCTCTTGTTTCATCCCAGAATACGAAAGTTAATTCACCTGCAACAGCAGGGATCATTCAGTTTGTAACTTAAGGGTTAATTCTGGGCTGTTAGCAAAGTCATTCCAGCTGGATCAGGCCAATGGCCCATCTAGTCCAGTATCCAGTTCTCACAGTGGTCAACCAGATGTCTGTGGGAAACACACAAGCAGCACCTGAGCACAACAGCAGCCTCCCCTCCTGTAGTTCCCAGCAAATGGTATTCAGAAGCATTGACTAGTAGTCACTGATAGCCTTCTCTGCCATGAATTGGTCTAATCCTGTTTTGAAGCCCTCTAAGTCAGCAGCCACCACTGCCTCCTGTGTGAAGAAGTAATTTCTTTTATCTGTTCTGACGCTTCCAACATTCAGCTTCATCTGAGCTGTGTTTTGGAACTCCAAAAGTACAGGGAGCTTTGGACATGTTTTTCTGTTTGGGAAACTGGGTTCCCATGACGTGTCCTTGCCGCCTAGACTTGGTGAGCGGATCACATTGTTAAGACTGTATTCTGGGTTGATAGCTACCTATCTCATGTCATGCCCTGGTTCTCGCCCCAAGCCACATGCCATTTTGAAGTGGACATCTAATGCCATGCCCTGGTCCTCGCCACAAGCCACATCATGTTTTCATGGAACATTCCCCAAACCGCCTCTGTTGTCTCTCCCCACAGTGATGTTTGTAAGACGTCCTCCAGTGCCTCAAAGCTCTGTTCTTTGCCTTCCCTGATGCATCCCAAGAGTCACTTTTCCCTCCTGTCTCGTACTCCCCCCCCCAATTCCACCATTCTCTTCTCTTTCCAAATTTTATTGCATGCAAACTGATAAGCACAGTTCCAGTGAAACCTTCTTGGGGGGGAAAAGACTCTGCATCTCAGGTTACATGGGTCTGTAATCCAACTTAGCTTCCCTTGTAAACCTGATTGCTTTTACTGTACCATAAAGGAATATATATATATATATATATATATATATATATATATATATATGATATGTTGCATCCGCCTTCCCCAGAAAAGGCTGGGGAGAGGAAGACTAGAACGGTTCCCTGTGGAAATTCTTCATAAAAGAGATATCAGTGAAAACCCCTTCCAGAATTTCTCTGAAAATCACCCGTGTCGTGTTTCGGAGATCACCCTGCAAACTCCATGGGTGGCCCTTGCCGGATTGCATGTGTATCTGTCAGCATGTGTTTCCCTCTCTCTCTCTCTCTCTCTCTCTCTCTCTCTCTCTCTCTCTCCTGCTTTAAATCTGGAATCTGGCTTTCTGGTATATAGTAACACTTCCTATTTTCCCTTCTCCAGCAGTGCCTCCCACCCCCCTTGCCCCCTGCCCCTGTTTAAATTGCCATATCTGATTTGCTCCCTAATGAGGTAGATTGGACTAATCAGTCTGGGATTGATGAGCATTAATTACTTCTAAACATTTTTTTGTGATGAAAACTCTGCGAGGGCAAATTACTCCATCAACAAGTGAGTCATGAGTTGAGGTGCCTTTAATGATGAGTTGCTGGATTTGGGCAAACCACAAGCTGGACTGGAACCCTTGTTGTGGTATTCCCAGTCCTCAGTGTTGCAACTGATGGTTGCTTGGAGGAGGGGGAAGAGAAAGTTACTCACAACTTGTAGAATGGAACAGAAAAACGAGAAAGAAAAGTGTGTGTGTGTGTGTGTGTGTGTGTGTGTGTAGGCAGAACACATGTTGATGTATGCCACCAAGATTTCTTGCCCCAAGGGGTGACTGTACTCATTTTCAAATCCAGATTTAACCTCAGCTGAAGTATGACAGACGTCCGAAAAATGCACCAGAAGCCACCTCAAACAAGCAAAAAGAAGAGCGTCTGGTTTCATTACCCTCTCTTTCCCACTACTCTATGGGATGGAAAGCTCTGAACGTTTGCAAAGTCAGTTTTCTGCGGAGGAGAAAACACAAGAGACTTATGGTGTATTTGCCATCATAACAGCTGACTTAAAACTATTATTCTCAATGAACATATTTGGTAGGGCCAAAGGATGTCTCCGAAATTCAATTATTAATTATTTTTGGATTTTTAATTTTTTTTAAAAAAGTTAGCTTATTTACTTAAATTGTTCTTACTTGCCTTTGGTCTCAATTGACCTCAGTTGCCATTTAGCAGTATGATCAAGCAAATCTGATTGGCTCTTCATCCGTTTTGCTACATGATATTGAATTAGTTGGGATCATCCAGGAAAGAGGCAAAAGCAACAGATAGGGGAGCAATAATTGAAAATAAAAAGGGAGGAAGGTGTATAGTATTTGAAATATAAGCATTTTTTAGATTTTAACTTAGTATTGAACATGAAGAATGTTTAGCAAAGCTGCATAAGAACTAATTTATTTTACAATTATAACATATGATGTGAACATGTGAGAGCTTCACAGTATTGATGAGAGAAATGCACTCCACATGCACCCAGAGGCTCTAGATCAGGGGTCAGCAAACTTTTCCAGCAGGGGGGTGGTCCACTGTCCCTCAGACCTTGTGGAGGGCCGGACTATATTTTTTTTGGGGGGGGGGGGAAATGAACGAATTCCTATGCCCCACAAATAACCCAGAGATGCATTTTAAATAAAAGCACACCTTCTACTCATGTAAAAACACCCTGAATTCCTGGACCATCTGTGGGCGATTGGGCTGGATCTGGCCCCTGGGCCTTAGTTTGCTCTAAATAAATAGGTCCATCTAGCTCAGTTATGTCTACACTGACTGGCAGAGGCACTCCAGGGATTCAGGCTGGGCACTTTCCCAGTCCTACCTGGAGATGTTGAGGATTGAACCAGGCACCTTCTCCACACAAAGAAGATGCTCAGATCCCACTGAGCTACACCCCTTGCCCAAGTTTAGGGGAGCTTCCTATGGATAGGATCGTCTCTCCAGAGTTGCTTTTGCAGCCCCCACCGGCAATAAATCTATCTAGCTGGATTTCTCACGAAAGGCAAGGAGATCATAACATCTGCAGCTGCCCCTCCCCGTAGCAATTTATGGCCATTCGCTTCCAGGCCTGAAGTTGGTTTATGGAAAATAACACCTGCTTTCCTGACTCCCCAAGCCAGGGTGGAATTTTTTCTTGCTGTCTGTGGATCCTTAATAGCTTGTTTGAAGCCAGCAGATGATTCATAGCATGATCCTAGTACGTATGCACTATGTTAAAGCAAAGGAGGGGGAGGGGGGCAGCCCAGTTGCTATGCACCGTCGCTCAGCTAGGCCCGAGCCAGCCCTTTTGAACGCTTCGCTTTGTCAAGCAAGCAGACAGCTTGCCAGGTTGGAGTCCTCAGAGTGGGATTTTGTCGCTTCAGGAATCAGAAAGCATAAACACATTTGTCTCCTCCACTCCACCTTTTTAATTTTTAGGTCTGTGCTTTATTGCATACCAACCTCTGCTGTAGGCAGGTTTAGATGTATTTAGAAAAAAAAAACCCTGCTCTCTCTGCAAAGAGCATCCCCAGCTGTGTGGAGGAAGTCATGTCTGACCTGGTGCAGGGTGGTCGCCTCAAACCAACGCATGATTCCAGAGCAAAGGACAGAGGAATGGATTCTGGGGCCCACAGCACTGTGTCTTGTGGGCATGCAGGCACATGTCAGTTTCATCAAATATGAAAGAGCCAGTGTGATGTAGTGGTTAGGGACCTGGGAGTGGACTAGGACCTGGGAGACCTGGGTTCAAATACGAACTCAGCCACGAAGCTCAAAAGGTGATATTGGCCCAGTCACTGCCTCTCAACCTAACCTACCACACAAGGTTGTTGTGGGGATTAAATAAGGATGGGAAGAACTGTGCATGCCACTGTGAGCTCCTTGGAGAAAAAGGTTGGATACAATTGTGATGATGATGCAGATCATCATCACCATCATCATCATCAGGGATGGGCAAATCTGTCAGTTTTGATTTCTCTCCATTTCTCTTTTTTCCCCAGTCTTAAATTCAGTTCTCTGAAGTTTGCATTTATTTTTTTTAAAAAAAAGCACCCTCATGATGCTCTATCATCATTTTAGTGCAAATTCCTCCCTGAACACATATTTGTATACAAGTATGCTGAAAGCCAGGTAGAGGTGGAGCATTGTCACAGAATAATTTTAAATTTGATATTCTCAGAAGTATGGTGTGGGGAGGGGGGAATACATACATTAGATTTCTGAAATTTCTGTTTGAAAGCCATTTATTTATTTATTACCATAAACACTGAGCTTTGTTAATAATATTTAAGGCAATCACACTTGTTTTCACCAGCTAAGATGAATACTTGTATGCTTTTGGGACCCACCTTATTTTTATGGTTGTAAGTTTTTTAAATGGTTTTGATGTTGTTTTTAATGCTGTAACCCGCCCTGGGACCTTGGGGTGAAGGATGGGTAATAAATAAAGTAATAATAATAATATCTAGGGTTGTGTCCAACTATGTCCTGCTCAGAGTAGACCCATTGAAATTATCAATCTGACACTAGTCATGTCCATTAATTTCAATGGGTCTACTCTGGGTAGGACTAACACTGAATACGACTCCTTATTGACTTACTGGTACATATTTATGTATGCATTTCTTTAAATAAGGAAGCCACTAAGTTGATTTACGGTAACTATGAAGACTTCTTTGTTGGGGAGATCTTTATGCTGGATGGGGAGAAGAGAGAGATGAGAGATCCATCTTTTAGCACTTGTCCTCTGTCAAGGCACTGTCCAGCCTTGAAATAACCCCCCCACCCCACAACTCTCTCTCCTTACAACCTTCCCAGTGAAGTAAATATGCTTGCAAGAGCTCTTTTCCTTTTCCAGATGAAGCGCATTCCTATGTTATTAAAGATTTGGGGCAAAGACCCACGACCCATAATTTGCATATGATAATTAATATTTATATAGATCTAAATTAAGGGCGACTTTTGGAGAGAAAGCCATCCTGTAAGAAATGAGAGGGGGGAAGTAGCAGGAAGTCTGGCACTCAAAGGAGCCCACTGGTGGATCAGGCCCCATGGACCACCCGCTGACAAGAACCCTGGCTTAGATGACATCAAAAATGAAAGGTGGGGGTATGAATCCGTACCTAGCCTCCTGGCCTTTTAAACATCCATTAATTGCTTTGTTTCTGTCATGATAAAAGATTGACTTTCCACAATCAGCCTTCCACACATGGCTGTTTGTCAAAAGAAAGAAAGAAAAAATGGGGAGGGGAAATGTATCTCCATCAAAATGGAAATAGTTGGCAAGAAAAAGCAGATTAAAAACCTGGATGCTCTTCCAGGCTGATGTTTGAAAAGCGATACAGTCAGCCCTCAAGGACCCCCCACACTGTGGACATGGTTTGCATGAGAGCTGGGCTTGAAAGTTCAGGAGAGGGGTCTCCCCCCCTCCTTTCAGCACCACGAAGGTCATCGCAAACACACACAAATATCAACCGAGAATATCTGTTGGCTTCTATGTGCTAAAAGGGAAGGGGGGGAGAAGGCGGGAGTGTATGACTAATCTAGTAACCTTTCTTTTTGTGTTTAGTAGAACCCAAGTCTGTTTACAATAAAACGGAGCGAGATTTTTCATTCTTCCAAATGGAGCAGGGGTTATATCAACAGCATAACCTCAGACACAGCAAACACCTGTTGAGCAGAATTGGGATTCGACCAAATTTTAAAAGGGAAAGAATCATGATTTCCTCCCTTTTCTTTTCCCCTCTCCCCACTCAGGGGTAATTTGAAGTCAAAATGTATAGTGTGGATTGTATTGATCACGGACGCCCTGCATGAAATGTTGGCAAACTTAATGTGAAGAAGAAGAAGAAGAGTTTGGATTTGATATCCCGCTTTATCACTACCCTAAGGAGTCTCAAAGTGGCTAACAATCTCCTTTCCCTTCCTCCCCCACAACAAACACTCTGTGAGATGAGTGGGGCTGAGAGACTTCAGAGGAGTGTGACTAGCCCAAGGTCACCCAGCAGCTGCATGTGGAGGAGCGGGGAATCTAACCCGGTTCATCAGATTACCAGTCTACTGCTCTTAACCACTACACCACACTGGCTCTTTTAGTTGAATCAAAATAATTCAGGGGTTGTAGCTCAGTGGCAGAGCATGCAAAGAGTCGCCGCTTCAGTCCTCAGCATCTCTAGGTACGGGAAAGTCTGAAAACCTGCCTGAAACCCTGGAGGGGCCATCAACACTAAAATTCCACTAAACCAGGAGTGAACTCCAAACCAGTACTTCAAATGAAGATTTGATGGGAAGAAAGGTTCTTTCTTTCTTTCTTTCTTTCTTTCTTTCTTTCTTTCTTCTTGAAGATCAAAATAAACTCCAGATAGATTCATGTTTATATTTATTGGGGTATGTGTCAGCTACAAGGTTCAGCATCTATGGATCTACAGTATGAGGAAGAAACTTAATTTGTTTCAGATCCACTGTGTGTCTTCCTAATTCAGCTGTATCAGATCTGTTAAATATGAAGCTCTATTTCCCCCATTGGCTGTAATGGAGAGTCAAAAAATGATTATAACTCCCCCACCCAAAGTGGATGAAATTTGCAGGCAAAGGACTTCCACTAATGTGGATTAAGCCTGAAAAATTTCAGACAAATCTACGGGATTTTAATGCAGGGCTTCATTAATCTAAAAAAGGAAAGGGGGGGGGGGATTCTGCCAGAAAAGGATTCAATCTTCAGGAATGGTTGCCTGTTCTGAGAGAATGAACCCCTACAGCTTTCAGAATGATAGATGCAGGTTTTCTCTCATGAGGGAAGACCATTTTGAGTTGAACAAAATTGAAATTGATTAACCTTCTGTAGTGTTTTGTGGGCAATCAGTCTGAAAACTAGTGTCCTGAGGAAAGTGACCTTGAGCAAATGGGCAGTAATAGGCTGGCAGTGAGCAACACAGCTGAGGGCAGGCTTAGCTGAAGGGGTGGGAATACCAGACCTTGAGGTGGGAGGGCAAAATACTTTAATAAAAATAAAAATAATGCTGGACAGCAGGAATTCATTGTAATGAAATCATAGTTACCCTAAAACTGAAGGAAGCAGAATGAAACTTTGGGTGATGTAAAAGCCACTTCAATGCACCCTCCACCACATGCTGCCTGGGGTTGATAGAAGTTGTAGCTCAAAATATCTGGAGGGCACCAGGTTGGCAAAGTATGCTTTAGGGCAGTGGTGTCCAAACTTTTTTCAAAGAGGGCCAGATTTGATGAAATGAAGGGCCACGGGGGCCAACCAAAGGGCCAACCAAAGTTGTTGAGGGTTTTTTAAAGGATTTTACCCCAAGAAATAAACTGCCACAGGGGCCGGATTAAACCGACTGGTGGGCCAGATTGGGCCTCTGAAACAGACTTTGGACTTGCCTGCTTTAGGGAGTTTTTGATCAAACTTGAAATGCCTTGTTAATGGTGTGATCCAACTTAGGGATGTGAAAAACACTCCCAAATCACTCCTATCCACATTGAAATTAGTAATAACATGTGGCTGACAAGAAGTGATTAGGTAGCAACTGTGACAGGTGGGTGGCATATAAATAATAAAATTGTCTAGTGTTTACAACACACACAAGTGTGAGGAAAGTTATATAAAAAAGTTGCAAAACTCACATTTGAAAAACAAACCCAAGTCTTATTTTCAGCATCTCAAAATTCAGCTTTGCACAAGTCATTATTAATCTTCCAGTTCTTCACTCAAATCTGTGAATGTGGAGCCTCCCTCCATTTTTTTATTTAAAGGAAAGCCCCAAATTTTAGTTAAGAACAGAAAAGTTTAATTAGCAAAACCTTCAAAATTTCAGCCACCTACTTCAGTTTTAATTTGAACTCAAAAATGCTGAATTCAGAGAATTACTTACATTCCAAATGTGCATTGGTTTTGCATTCT